GTGGGGTGTCAAGGGTAAGAGCACAAACAAGGTAGGAGCTGATTCCGATGGAGGATGATAAGGATTCTCCCTCCTCTCTTCCAATTATGGTACTGAGTTAATCCCCAGGCCTGGATACTGATCTCTCAGGAAAGCCTACAGCACGCAAAACCATGCAGAGCTGATCAGCTCATGCTTTTCAGCACCCAGCTCTCTGCATACATGAGAAGTGTCACATGAAGATCCTATCCTGATCCTGCTTCAGAAAAAGGAAAGTGTCTTAGAAGAGACAGGCATTAGGAAGTCGCTAATGGAAGTGAACAAGAGAAGATCATTTCTTGCTGGCAGGGTTGAGACATCATGGAGAAGGAGGTATACAGAAGTGACCAGCATTAGATGCTATTGACGATTGTTTCAGAGCATGGCACCCAGTGCTGTGGAAACAAACGTTCAAGTGAAGGAATGGCCTAGCGGCAACATGAAAATGGAGCAGGGAAGGCACTTTAATATTGATAGGCCCACGTATTGCTGAATGGCAAAGTTAAGAATTGTTCAGACTTCACATATAGGTCTTCTTCATTTTCTAAAATTCCTACCTTTGCTTCTCTGAAATATACATGTAAACCTTTCTCTGAAGGATCAAAATCAAAGAAAAGGATGCTCATATTTTCCTACCCCGGGGATCCCACAGCCCTGGTTTTATATGATGACTGACAGCCCCAATGGTCCACTGACACCACTTTCCTTGACACATCTCTGTCAACCGGAACAACAGATCAAAGAAATGAAGACCTGGCACTGGTTGCAGGTCACACAATCTTGCATTGAAACCAAACATGTGGTTTTTTTTTTTTAACAGCACAATGTCATCCTATTATTTTCTGTTACCAAGAAATCTATTTTCTCAACTTCCTTTAAAAAGTATGAGTCTCAGATGTGCAGAAGTGGATTCACTATAACTCTTTGTTCTTGGCATCTTCTCATCATTAGGCTGTGCAAAGCAACCTATCACCTGGTTTATTAACTTATGTATTTATGCTTTATACTCAGTGTTATAATAAATGAAGAAATAAAAACCCATCACCAAAACTAGAATATAACTGCCACATTCACCCATGTCATCCTCCCCATCCCTTCTCTGTTCACCATTTCCTTTTTCTTTTGCCAAGAATTATCACCTCTATTTTCACACCTAACAGCACAGTTCTTTTTCATTTTTGACATTATCTAAATAAAAAGATTTTCATGATACATATCATCTTTTGAGAAAATTTTTGGTCAATGTTACTATGCTAAAATTCTTCATATACTTGTAACACATTCATTTTACTGCCTTATAATTTCTGCTTTATGCAATTTTATTTGTTTCATTTTCTTGGTGTGACAGTGTATTTATTCTAATTACTTAGCTAGCTAGATTTTCCATTAATAAATATCCATTTGCATTTCCAGAGACACAAGATTCCCCACCCAACACAACTAGAGCAACAAATCACAAAGTAAATCCATTTTTAATAATATATTCCATAAGGAAAAAAGAAATTGTTTCATAGATCATTTGACTTTGATCTTGCTTTTGGAGAATCAAGAGCAAAAAATAAGAGTAGAAGCTTGGCTTCATCCTTCAATGCTTTTGACCATCAAAAGTAGTCCCTCCAAAGATCAGGGACTACCTGAGATTATGTTGGCCTTGACTTAGCTCCCTGCATGACCTGCCTCTTTAGCCCTGATTCAAAACCAGTCCATGAGAATTGGTCAAGTTACTGGTTTTCACCTAAAATCTTAACCAGGATACAACCCTTGTGCCAGAGTAGAGAGGAAGATGCACAATGGAGGCTTTCTTGTACTCACAAAGAAAGTGCAGGTGTTTAATGTACCCAGAACTTATTCCTACTTCCAGAAAAAGGCCGAAGACTGGATTTAATTTGCTAGTGATATAAGCTTCTTTGGGGCCCTTGCTGTATAAACAGCGGAGCCACAGCCTGCCACATAGCATACCATGCAAGTGCTGTCCGAGTCCTGACTACCACTTCTGATTCAGCTCCCTGCTAACGGCCTCTGGAAGAGCGAAGGATGGCCAAGATGCCTGGGCTCCTGCCACCTGCGTAAGAGATCTGCAAGTGGCTCTTGCTTCCTGACTTTGGCCTGACCCAGCTCAGCCTGTTGAGGCCATCTAGGAAGTGAGCCAGTGGGTGGAAGATCTCTCAATCTCTGTGTAACTCTGGACTTCAAATGTATCAATCCATTTTTAAAAATGTTCTTTACTTAAACCACTGTTTTGAGAAGTTGCAATAGGACAAATAGGACAAAGTAAAGCGCATGTTAGAAATGATGGTGCTGGGCCTGGTGGTGTGGCCTTGTGGCTAAAGTCCTCGCCTTGAACATGCCAAGATCCCATATGGTCACCGGTTCTAATGCTGGCAGCTTCTCTTCCCATCCAGCTTCCTGCTTATTGCCTGGGAAAGCAGTCGAGGACGGTCCAATGCTTTAGGATCCTGCACCCGAGTGGGAGACCTGGAGGAAGTTCCTGGCTCCTGGTTTTAGATTGGCACAGCACCGGCCGTTGTGCTCACTTGGGGAGTGAATCATCGGACAGAAGATCTTCCTCTCTGTCTCTCCTCCTCTCTGTATATCTGACTTCGTAATAAAAATAAAATAAATCTTTAAACAACCACTACAACAACAACAAAAAAGAAATGATGATGCTAAGGTAAAGCATTCTGTCTCTGGCTTCATCTAAGAACACGTGAAACCTGAGGATGCGTCACTTTAAAACATAACTTGGTTTGTGGAGCTAGTCAGACATACATGTTCAGGATAGATTCTTAAAGCATCCTCTGCCGCTAACTTCACTGATAATCCTCTTACTGCTTTAAGTCTTTGTTCCACAAAGTGTGGTCCCAAACTAGCAGCAGCACTGTCTCCTGGAAACACATTTGTGACTCACCCACTGATGCAGAAACTGAGAGGGGAGCAGGACTCAGGGACACGAGTTTTAACATGACCTCCAGGGAGACATCAAAGTCTGAGAATTATTATTCCGAGAGACCCCTAAGCCTGCAACCCCTCAGAGGCTGTTTCTGAAATGGGAAACCAACAGACATGATTGTAATTTAAATTGTAGATGCATATTTTACACAATATACATCTAAAACTGAGTCAACTGCTTAATTTATTTGGCATAATACTAAGTGGCACTAACCCTGTTGCATGTAATGGATTATGTGTATTTAACAGCTATGGGCAGTGGAGGCACTACCACAATTGAGTCCAGGGTTCAAGTACTTATTTACCTTCACTTAATGACTGTATGACTTCAGACAATTACTCAGCCTTCTATGCCTCTGTGTTCTTACTACGAAATGGGAGAAGTGTACCTATTTCATAGGATTTTTGTGAGAACTAAATGTTATAACATGTGCTACTTTAAGTGTACAATTCTCTCCCTCAATACTATAAGTCTACTTACCATGTATTTGATAAGTATGTGGCTACAGATTATTTTGCCAGGAATTTTTACAAATAGACACCATCAACTTCCTGTTTTTTTTCAAAACTGGTGTGTCTCTACTAAGACAGTATGGTGTTTTGACATGACTGAGTGCTAATGTAATTGCAGATGCAGGAATGAGTGCGCTGGGACCCAGCTTGAGAACGCACAGTTCTGGTGAAGCTGAGATGAGAAGCTTTATAATCACAAACGCATTGCAATTTGCTTTTAACACTAAGAGAGCTAAACTGCAAAGAATTCCAAGAGTTGAGGAAATGTTGCTTTCTCCTTAAGCGTGTGCTCTGCTTGTTCTTGAAGAGTACACTCACAGACAGCCTATAGCAGGCCTTTAACAAGATCATCACCACTCTGTCAGCAGGCCCAGACCATGTTAGCAAGGAGACTGCTCTTTCTCACACAGCAACCTATGGGGCAGATCCATTTGTTCACTCACAACAAAGGTTTAATCTTCCTTCCCAACTGAAAGCTAACCTGGAATAAATACACTTAAAAGATGCATTGTCATTTTGGAACTGAAGCAGGGATCCCACAGGCTGTGGCCTGAGGACCATGTCTGTTGTGTCCACCCAGACTGATTGCTGAAAATTAAGATTCTTGTCTCACTCCAGATCTGCTGTCTGGAATCTCTTTAAGTCAGTCCCATAGGTCACATTCTTACCATGCGCCAGGTCATCTTCTAAGCACAGGAAAGTCTGAGAGCCACTACAAGAAATGGCTTCTGTTTTTAAAGTGTAGATGGAAACTGCAGTCAGCCGTGCAAAGCTGGCTCTTCAGTAGCTCTGTGACCTATCTGCTTTTTCCTCTGCCAAGATTCCACCAGAACTGTCATCATTTTTTACCCAGAATTACTGCAGCAGTCTTGCAGTGGGCCCAGCAGCACTGTGTTGGGCACAGTGTACTGGATCATAAAGTCCAAACGCCTTAGCATGACTTCAAAACCCTTCTCTCAGTTCGTTCCTACTGCATTCCCAGCCCCCAAGAATCACTCACCAGGTCTTGAAAGGTGCACGACAGTTCTAGGCTCCAAGTTTTCACACATGCTGTTCCCTCTATGTGGGCAATTTCCCCATCATTGTGGGCCTGGTTAACAAGTGCCTGTTTAGCTTCAACCTTCACTTTCTTCAGGAAGGGCATTCGTTGCCTCTCCTTTATGCTCTCGCCCCACCCAGAATTTAACAAGCATGTGTCATATTGCACTGCAATTATCCATATGCTTTAACATATTTACTTGTAAGCAGTCAGTTCCTTGAGGACTTCCTCATCATTGTATCTAGCAGTGAGTTTAGTAGGTGCTGTTGCTTGGACAGATTTCAGTGTTAATGGTCCATCCACCCCTGACTGAGTTCCCTTCTTTCTCCTCCTTGCTCCTTTAGGTTGGGTTGACAGACTGCTGTTACTTATAATAAAGTAGGATAAAAATATTCTCCCTACTTTGCCTTTGCCTAATATACCCAGATCTCTTAAAACTCAAGTTTTCACACCATTATACAGGCATGAAAAAAATATTCAGATGCTTGCTTCGGCAGCACGCATACTAAAACTGGAATAGAAAATATTAGCATGGCTCCTGAGCAAAGATGACACACACATTTGTGAAGCATTCCATATTCCAAAAAAATCAGACTGGAAGGGCCTCATGCTGTTTTATCAATCTTCCCAGAGCCAAGCATCGTGGACTTAGAAGCATATTTAATGAATGAAAGAAGGAAGACCCTGAATGAACTTACAGTGGCATATATTAGCAGTTCTTTAAAAGTCAATCACAAAAGGAAGAAAAGTAGAAAGTCCTGTAATCACGAACACCTAAGCTTGGTGTTCATCTCCAGTGAAACTGTACAAACAGACCCCTCAATGTGGTGCAAAAGAGCCAGTAAGAGCGTTTTCTGGGAGGCAGACGTACCAATTCTCACTGCCTTTTCTCACAGAGGTGTAATTACCACATAAATTACATATGTGGAAGTCAGGAGACATCCAATGCAAACATTTGGCTATTCTTAGGAACAAGGCTGACATGTGTGCACTGGCTGATAGCACAATTCAGCACCCAAAGGGTGCAGACTAATGGACTGCCTGTCTGCCTCAAGGGAAATCTCTATCACCTGTCACTTGGCTCTGTCCTTGCCCTTATCCCAGTGAACATGCTTATTAACGACAAGAGTGCAAACATGGAAGGCACAGTGCTGATGGCCTGACTACTGTCACACCAGGCCTGAAGGGATAACAAAAACAATGAGTGACAGTCAGATACTAATGCCACGAGCCACTGTGTATTCAAAACCTCCTCTGTCAAGACCTTCATGTGTGCCATTCCCTTTCATCTTTCCTCCCCAGAACACACAGGGTGAAGATGAGGAAACCAAGGCTCTGAGAGGTGGTGAGACCTGCTTAAGTCACAGGGCTAGGAAACAGCTAACTTGGCTGACTTGAAAGTTGAACTTTCTTTTCTTCCCTTTCTACTTGGTACCTCATGATCAGAAGCCAAGGAAATAATATTCAGCCTAGTCTATTTCAAATACGTGTTGAACCAAGAGGGAGCCATGGTGAGTTTTAAATGAAGTGGTTGGAGAAGAATGTTTTTTGAAGATACTAAGACAACTATATCTGGGGGAGAGAATGGAAGCTGAACAACAACTCAGATGACAATTGCAGTCCAATGGGTCACAAGGTGAGGAGGGAAGAGCCCTTCACTGCACAGTGCCTTTCTACATATCTCTCTGGGTCACAAATCTAACTACACAAGTTTAAAATCACTTAAAACTGCAAGTGAACAAGGATTTAAAACAGGAAATGCATAAAGTTAAGCATTAAGAAACACCTATTTTTGTAATGCTAAATGCTTGACTGTAGCGTAACCCACACATACACACACACAAACATACACACTCACATACACACCACACAAACAACTGAATGAAGACAGGTGTGTTTTCTGTACAACCAAAGAGTAGAGAAACCAACACAAATGGACTTCTTTCAATCAAACAAAAGACACAACAAGTATCATGTTGCCTGAAAATTTTGGAAAAAATGGAATAATATAGCAGGACAGGGGTTGAGAAGGACCAAGATTATTATTAGATTTACTCCCTTGTGTAGCTTTTAATGTAATTTTTGTCCAAAAATGCCAAAAAATTAAAGCTGGGTAAATTCTGACAACTTCTGGCATATTCAGAGTCTGAGAGCTAAGGCAAATGGAGAAATGGAAAAACCTAAGTGGGGTTTGTTTTTATTCTGTCATGTGACCAAAGAATAAAGTAAGAATAAAAGATAATTTCATCACAGGAACATGTTTCCAGGAGAAGGCCTGACACACAGAAAGATTTCTGGGTGGGGGGATGGACTCAGATAAAACAGGTGCTAGGTAGGTGGGGCCGCTCCTGCTCTCTTGGTCTCCAGCCCTGGAACATCTGTTTAAGTTCCCAGAGCTCAGTGTCTGCCCAAGGAGGGGACAAGCACCTAGCACACTGCATTTTCTCACTTAGGCTCCATTTCTGGAGTGAGAGTGTATCGGAGGAGAGGCAAGATGGTCTGCCCCCAGCAGCAAGTCCTCACCTTTCAGCCCACACCAATACCCACTAAAAATTATTAGAACTCTCGCACTTCTCAATTTTTTTTAACATCCTTCCCTCCTGTCCCCTCAAGAATGTCTCCTACTAATAATCCCAGCATGGTGTATCGCCCTCTCTAAAGGGAAATCGTGAGGCACACTCACCATTAGCTTGGGCTCTGCATTTGCACTGGAAGCCGCCAGGCTCTCAGCCCTCAGCGCAGGCTGGCACACAGCACATGTTCCCAGGCCAACGCTCTGCTTGCCCAACCCTGCCCCGCCCCTCTCCACAAGTTAACTTTTAAATTCAAGTGGACTCAATGTTCTCTGCTTTCTCCACCCCTTCCCTTCCCGCCCCACAATGTTCTAGGAAAAACCAGAACAGAATGGAAAAGCAAAGCAGAGCGTTGCAACTAAATTAAGGCCTCTCTCTATGGGACGATTAGCGAGGCTGTGCATTGCAGCAAAGAGACAAGGAGACTCTGCAGAGGCTGGTTTGAAAATACGTTCAACTAAACAGTACCCACTTAATTTTGGTACCCTGGAGTTATAGGCACCCTACATGAGGCAAAAGTAACAAGGCTGAAAAGGAACAAGACTCCAAAAGTTGAATTTCAACACTACCTTGGCAAACAGAAGCACAGGAAAGTCTTCTTTTGTGCCTATTCAATCACCAATGTCTCTTGAGAACCTGCTGAGCTTGGAGTACAGTACTAATTAAGGGGGAGCTCAGAGGCAAACAAAACAAGAAATAAAAAACAAACCAGCGCCAAGGAGCTACAGTTTTCCTCCTGGAGTTCCTATGTGCTATAGGAGACACACATCTGGGGCGGTACAAGTATTTTTAAAGTGAAAGGAAATGAAGAAACACACATTTCCACACAGGAGTGTCCCCTGGGGGAGGGAGCTCAGTGGTGGTAATCAAGTTAGTATCACAAATCTCTGCCTCATTATCATGTCATCTAGAGGGCAAAGGGGGACAGGAAGAAGGGAAAGGAAAAGAAAAAAAATACAAAAAGCAAAGGAATTATGATGAAATACAGCACGGGATAAGGACTACATAAGTCAGCAATGCACATAAACATCAAATCTCCAAGTGTCTTGACATTTAAAAAAAAATCCATGTGTCAATATCACATTACCATCCCTGACACCTTGCTGGGAGTTGATGATTTTCCTATGGCCTGAGTTTCACATTTTTGTTTTTGTTTTTTCTGTACTCCAGGGGAACCCTGTACTTTCCACAGAAATCCATTCCATGTGTTCAGGCATCCTTCAATGCCTGGGACATCAATATGTATTTGTTAAAAAAAACAAATGAATAGCATTATTTGGTTCAATACTGTCAAATCGTGGCTGAGACTGATGGGAAAAGCAAAGACGGAAATGCTATATTAAGAACCCCACCTAAACCTCAGGGATGACCCACTTTATACAAACATCATCCCTTGATTGAGCCCCTGCTTTTCTGGACTTGGCAGAGTAGAAGATGATGACTGCACACTTTACTCCATTGCTATGACTGCAATGACGCATCCATGCCTGTGGATCCCTCGGGTCTGCCACTAACTGTCAGAGTGAGAAGCGCAGGCTGGCATCAGACGGTCATGCAGTACCAGGTCCAGGCATAGCCTCCACTTCTTCCAAAGAATCAGATCTGCCTGCGGTCTCAGCAGAAACCAGATCCCCCTGGCAGCGGGAGGAGGCGCCCTTCCTGCCCCAGAGGTGAACAGGAGAGAAGACTCCAGAAGATCTGGTTTCCCAGAATAATGTCGCCACCACACAAGACAAATGAGCATCCCTTGTTCTAAAACCGCCACAAATCCTCCCCCCGCCCCCCAATTACAAAGGACTCAAAAAACAGAATTGCTTCCTGAGACCACAACAAGCTCCTCAGAGCTCAACACAAGGATAGGACTCACAATATGTGGCAGCAGTGCCAAGTACCTCTCATAAACCTAGTAAACTATGCAACACCAGAACAGGGGCAGGCTTGACCAGCAACAGTGGAACCGAGAGCAGGCCATGAGTTTGGCCACAGCCCCACAGCTCCTGTATGAATGGTCAGCAGGCTCCTGGAGAGGCTGCCAAGGATGTGATTTTTGCCTTGGAATTTTACTGAAGAAAGTTGATTTTTTCCAGATCACCTGAATGATAATACATCTCAAATTGTGTCTTCCAAAATATATGCAGCATGGGAAGATCTATACTGACTGTAGTTCTAAACCTCTTGAGGTCCCTTTTTAGACTGTATGCAACAAAAGTCCCTCCCTTTTCAACTCAAGCAAATTGGTACAATCCTTATTGCACATGTTACGTTCTTTCCAGGGCAAACAGATGGAAGAGAATGTGCCAGAAAGGAATGAAAAATGAAAATGACTTTAAAATAAAAATAAAGCTGCAGGGTATAATTTGGGTCAACTCTTCATGCATTTTTGAAAACCAGCTCCAGCAGGCTCTGTGCATATGGCATTGGTTTTACTTTTTTTTGTGCTCAGATGTCACACAGGATTAGTGCAAAGGGAAAAATCCCAGCATGGGGCCTATTTTTATACAGATTAATCAATCACTTCCCATCTCTTCTTCCATCATTCCCCAAACTTAACGACATTACTCTGTTTTCAAAATAAGTCATTTACTACACTCTGAATGGGAATTCTTTCAGGAAAGAAAATGAGTTGAAAATATGAACCTAGATTTTAACTGTCACATTTTGAATTCAAACTATAAATATTCACTAGAAGGATGCAAAAACTGAACTTTTTTTAAAAATCTCACGTAGTCATTGTGGTATCCTACATATTCACCATGGCAACACAATTATTAGCAATATAAATACATACGGCTACTTAGGAAAACGTAACTAGCAAGTAAATAGCAAGGCATAACGGGAAAAATTCACTCTATTGTATTACCTATATTCCCCTATGCACCAAATGCCTGTGAAATGTGATAGGCTGAATGAAATCATACCAAAGAGTTGTTTGACCTGTTAGCTATAGCATCCTTGATCACAAAGCATTGTAACAATGATGAAGATGATGCTAACAGCAATAATACAATAG